CCAAACACCTCTCCAAACAGAAATGCATAGAACAGGACCCCTGATCTTCCGTCTGATGGAATCTGGATATGGTTCGCTAAAGCTCAACTGATGGAAAAAAATGAACCAGATGGCTGCTGAGTGATGCAACAGTGGCTGTGAGCAGGTCAGGCAAAATTGGTAGAAGAGTCTTAAAGTAGCAAAAGTGTAGAAAAGGATATGCTTCTCTCAGAATAAAGATAAGGCGTTCATCACCTAAGGACACTAGCATAAAACGGAGGCAGGCTGGGTGTGGGTTACACAGGGCTGTCCTTAGAGCTTTGATTTGTCGAATCACCTGTAGGTAGCTGCATGACACACTGCTTCCAGAATTAACTGTCTGTGTCCTATGATGTAAGATCAACAAAATCTTAGCTGTTTCCAAGGATGATAGACAAAAGAGGGTAGCCAGACATGCAGGCACAATCTAACCAACTTCAAACAGCTGCAGCTTCTGGCACAGTCTTAAAAAGGCTCTTAGGTGACTGTTTATGTTTAGGTTATCACAAAGAGTAGAAGAGAAGAGCTTATCCTAACCTGACCAATTACCATTTTTCTTAAGAACTCGCAATTGAAGGTACATGTGGGAATCTCCAATATAGGAGATCACCAATTGTCATTTTTTTTCTTTGGTGTCTAGGTATTTCCCCCACATTCTCATAGTAGAGTCTGTGGTGTCTGACAGAAAGAAAGCCTGATATATCAAAGTATCAACAAAAGTAATTCTCTCATAGATGACAGACACCATTAATATGTAAATTAAGAGCAGTGTATATAATCACTTTTTGAATAACTGCAGATGCAGCATTTGCATGCAATCCTGCAACACTTAACCAATCTTCTAAGATCCTTCTAAGCCATTAATATCACAGAAATGCTAGGCTCATAAGTCAGTTTTATGTACTATAAGTATTATGTATACTAAGAAAAGCTGATTATGGGAAATGTAGCTGTAAATACGTTCCCTGGAAGATACAGTTTCCAAAGTATAGGGCATTGTGTATGCTGTATTCTCCTTGGTACCTAACTATATTTTCTAGGATGCACACTGAATACACAGAATGACAGAATGGCAGGAATACCGTGTACTATGCTTTGGCTCAAAATCAATGGGTACAGAAACACTTCCAGAATAAATAACAGGATTTAACAAAGCAGGAGCTTTTGTGGCTCTCCCATTTTGTGACAAGCCAAAAGTCAGACACTTACAAGCCAAGCTTCCCCTCTATATTCGCCAAGGCGCTGTCACCTCCTGCTGCCCTAAATAGTGTTTTCGCGGGATGAACACTAGAGGTTTGACTATAATCACCAAACATCTGGTTTAACAGACTTAAAAACAGTACAGACACAGAAATTCAGCAGCGACAACATCCCTGGTTTCTTGTTCCCATTTAATGGCTTGTGACTGTTGTTTTGAATTTGATCTTAGTGAGAGACAGAGAAGCTTAGTGTTTTGATGTGACCCGACTACAACTGCACTGCCTATCCAGATTTCAAAGTCTTCTTCTCCAATACTTCTTCCCCCCCCCATATTATATAAACATCCACTAGAACTGTACCCCCCACCCCCACACATATATATATATATCAGCTAAGGAACTACAAGTCCAAGTATGCCATCATTGTCCCTGTACACCC